GTAGCCTTCTAACTGTGCATATGTGAGATTTCAGAAGTGTGTGCTTAGTCTTTTGGACCACAGTTCAACTCCAAAAGAGCCTGTTCACCTCTACAAGGGATGAACATAGCCACATGTGGTGCATGACACATAACAGACTTTTCTAGACAGCAGAGAGGGGGCTGGAAGGGGCTGTGGCTCTTGTACAGGCATCCAAGTCAGCAAACTGTATTCCAAGGCACTTAGCACCCAGGCTTACCACTTCCAGCCTCCTTGTGCCAGGATGAAGTTATGTGTCACAGCTTGTGTTGAACCTCCTCCCATGTCCCACCACCTTGCACCGATGAGAGCACAGATCTGAACCTCCACTAAGCCTAGTCACCTGTTAGGAAACAAAGTAAAATTGGAAAGCGAATGGTTTCCTGCTGGGTTAGGGAGTTGAATTGGCTCCCTGTGTCGTCAGAGGAGAGTCACGCCTAGTGATACTGCTGGTGCGGCAGAACCGCATGGCCTGCAGCAAGGACAGAGGAGCCAGGGTGGGACCTTCTCCTTTCAAGAGTGACTAGCTGTTGGATTTACTCAGCCATTCATGTGCTACTTCAGTGTGAGTGTTCGACTGCGAAGCTAATCGCTCTCCAAGTAGAGGAGCTGCCTGAACGCCCTGTGCAAGGTCTGCGGCAGAGGTATGAACAGGACCTACTTCGAACACTCCAATCTTGGCTGTTTCTGAAAGTACATCCTTCATCCTATGGCCTCTGAATGAAACTGAGCAGTGGAAATCTTTCACCTGAGAATCACTGTTGCTCTTTGGTTGTTGCAGTAGTTTAAACTTATAAAGCAGACTTTATATGGTTTCCACTTCCCTTCCGCTTTAGCATGGAATAGCACTTTTTAATCTGAAAAAAAATATCTCATTTATTTTGTAGTATTCTACTGATTACTAAACTTGTAATTTAGCAGAGCATCACTAGAAGCTAAGAACAGCTCTAGGCCATAGTGGCCTGGTGGGAAATGCACATTAAGAAATATCCTGTTGCCCTCATTGACACCTGATTTACAGCTGCCTTTGGTGCAGTGCACCAGTTAAGTCCAGGTCATAGCCACAGCACACCTCACCACACAGCCAACGATCGGGTTACTGCCATGTTGGAAAAACAGGTCTGTGTCCCAGGCACAGGCAGCCCCGGTAGGACCTGTGCAAGTCCCATTCACCAAAGCAACACCACATTAATTTCTGAGCAGCTCTCATGCTGGAGCCTATTCCTCTCCGTATGTTTATACTGTAAAAAACCAAGAGGTATTCAGGATATTTCTCAAAGAAATCAAGGATCTGTGACCACACGGTCTGCCCAGCTCTTACCACTTTTGAATCTATTAGCAAAATCCAACCAAATGTGACAGCAGCATCTGGTCCCACACGGTCTGTGAAAGCTGATGGGCACCTGGGGAAGAGAGACATCAGCTGTCTTCACTGAGGGGAAGGCAACAGCAGGCACAAAGTGTTACCAGTTTTGCTGGGCCCACCAGCTGGTACTGCCTCTTGCCTGCATGAGGGAACAGTGCAGGCAGGAAGGACTGAAGGTGGGTCAGGGCCCAAGAAGATGTTCAGTGGTCTGGGGGAGGCATGGGCACAAGAACCGGACTGTGGTCCCTCTGCCCCTCATAATACAACTTGTTTCTTTCTTCACAAATAATAACTCTGTCAGAAGAGTTCCCTTACTTATGGCAAGTTCATGCCTTATTTCAACGTCACTATAAAGCTGAAGGAGCTATCAGCGAAAGAGGAGAAGATGGAGTTGTGGCAAGCTGACAAGCAGCGAGTTTGATGTAGTGCTCAAGAGAGGTGAAGGCAGCCAGCAGGCTGAAAAAGATGAAAGCTATCCTTGGGATTTGGCCAAAAACGTTGGACACCTTTCCAGCCTTGTACTCCCACATCTGTAACAATGGTGTCAAGAGGTGCTTGAGAAGCACCAGAGGTGGGAACACCAGTGGTCCCACCCTGAAGGTTGGAAGGAGGAGAGCCTTTTCAGCTCTAGCTGTCCTCGGCCTCACCAGCTCTTGAAGGGAAGCTGGAAGCAGCAGCACTCAGAACAAGCCCTCATCTTTCAAAACAGGGAAGTGGTGGAGGAAGCCCATTCCCTCGGCTGGAAATGGGCAAATCTCCTTTCACTGCCTGTGGGCCACTGCCAGGGTCTGTCTTGACATGGCACCCCAGACGGTCAGTACACCCTTGTGAATCACGTCCTGCCATGGAAGGCCAAGAAGCCCTGCTGAGCCAGCTTCTGCTATTTTCTGGGGACAAACTAGACACTCATGCACAGAGCTACAAGTGCAGCCATGTCACCAGCGTGGTTTGCCTTCTCTGAGAAGAGAGAGATACCCTAGCATGATACCTGACCCTAGAGGCATCCTACGTAGAGCCTTCCAGGCTGCAGGGCCTCTTCCAGGTCTTCCACAGTCTCTTGTTCTTGCTGTGTTTTTCCTTCCAGCTACGCTCTGTTTTCCCTATCCAGGGGGTAAGTCCTCCTTCTCTTGCCTCCCAAAACCCCTACTCACGTTTATCACCATTTATTTTCTTTTTTTTTTCCCCCAAATTTTGGAGACAGGCAATTTTATCAGCAAGGGCTTTTGTCCTGGGAAAAACATGCATATTTACCGGTGCCGTTCTGTCAGCACTGCATGTATGTCTGTCTTGAAAATTACCTTTGTTATCTCAAGGACCTGCTGGTCAGAAATAACATCATGTAGCCCAACAGACTAACTACACCTCCTAATCCATCACCTGCCCAAGGCTGATTACCAGCAGAGCACTGGAAGCCATTCCTGGGAATAGCTGTCGGGGACCAGTGTGAGACTCCAGCAGATCAGTAGGATATATTTATTTGGCGAAGCATTCTGAGTAATGAACACTGAGGGCAAAGTCTGCTTGCAAATAATGGGAGGACATTCGCACCTAACCCCCACAAAGTGACTGAGGTCATTAGATGTCTTTTCTGCACATGATTCTTCAAGCTATCCTCATGCACAGCCCACTTTGCCCAAACACAGAGTGGTAGCTGATCAATACTTTATAATCCCTGGGACTAACTGAGCCTTCAAGTTTACCAGAAAAAAAAAAAAAAAAATCAATACAAGGGCCTGACCCTGGCAGGATTGGTACCCCATGCTGTCTGAAAACTGCTCTCCCCATGTCAAACATAGAGCTCAGCCTAAGCTGACTGCAATTCCCTAAAGGTTTATATGTTAGCTGGTGTAATTCTCACAAACAGCTTCTTGGAAAATGTCAGCAACAGGGTGTGTAAGGGATGCCTAACACAAAGAGAAAACACATTCCTCTGTCTGAGAGCGCTAAGATGTTTTTAGACAGAAATTATGTGCCTAGAAGGTAGTGGTGTTTATGTGTTCCCTCTGCAACATAGCATGGAAGCTCCAAGAAAAAACAGCGCACAAGTAGGGGCTGGGGGGCAAGAAACAGAAAGACACAGAAAATGAGGCATTTCGTTTTACATCACATTCTGTACTGAGCACTGACTCTGCACATAGCAAGGACAAGAATGAGTTACTGTTTGTTCCATTAAAGGTTAACTCAAATTAAACTTTCACTTTGAAATTTCAGAGTCAGCAACTTGGAGACCTAAATTGCCTAACTTGGAGATTTATACTGCCTAACCTTACCCCATTTGTTTGACAGCCCTTTCTGGATGATTAATGGAAAGCTATAAACAGCATTTGCATAAGGATATCTATCTCCTTTGCTGGGAAGAAGAGGTTCCAAAACTGGCTTTGTAAGAGGCATGAACAGCAAATGAGAGTCCTAAAGGTCTGAGCAAGCAAACAGACAGCACAGGTTTCTACTATTTACAATCCAGCTATCACCAGCCAGAAAGCAAGAACCAGTCCTTACTGTTGACACTGGAGCAGCATTCCTCTCCCCAAATGACCAACAGTCAGACCTTTGTCCCCACCCGTTTCCCAGGCAGTATTACAAGCCCCTAGCAACACACACCTACTTGCAAGGTTACCCCCAGGGCAGTAGCGTTCCCAGTCTCATTGACACAAAAGTTTTTTGTTCAGGAAGGTATCCAGGGTGTCTGCTTCACCCAGGCAAGCGGCAGGCAGCAATCGGCAGGTTAGCAGTTGCCTTTCCAGGAAAGTGCTTCCTCTTCACCGTAGGTGCCATTAACCCAAGTATGGGTTGGCAGCACACGTACAAGCCCAGAAGATACATCCCCCCTCCCCTGTGGAAAATGGGACAAGCTCTCCTTCTAAAAACAGCGCCTTGCCAAGGCTGCACAAGCCAAATCCAGGAGTTTTGCTGTGTTCCGTCTCCTTCTGCTGCTCTTCCGTAGTTGCATCAGTTCAGGACACCTGCAAACCTGTGCCTATGGCTCCTACCGATGCTCAGAATGTCCCCAAATCTTCCCTTGGTGAGCTGTGTGCTCTCCTGGCTCCCGTATCACCCCCAGCAGCGCTATGTCCCACACCATATCCGTGGAGAACATACAGACTGGGTGAATGACATTCTAATTCCTGTTCCCATCAGTGCCATGGGTTTTCCTTGGATTTCCTTCAGACATATTACTAACTCATCTTGCTCTTACTTTGCAGGGAGGGTGTAATGAGACTACAGCTCACTTGGAGAAAATATGAGTTGCAAACACAACAGCAGCTCCCAAGAGTGTAACTATGCTACATGTGCACATCCAAGGCCAGAATCCAGCCGCATACCTGATGCGGAGGCAGAATCAGGCTGCCAAGCCTTTCCAAGGCATGAACACAAACCCTTTGGAATGTGCCCCAACAAGCAGCTTTGGCCTCTTCAAGAAGGACAGCAGAGATTGTCGATCCTGCAGAATGAGACACATCTTGACCTTCCTGTGAGGTAACTAACCGCTCAGACTGAGTTTCCCCTTAGAGTCTGACCCCGCAGGCCTCGAGTCCTTGAAAGTGTAGGCACCAGTACAATGCCCAGTGTTTGCTCCTGTTCAGGCACAAAACAACTTTGCATACACAGCTCCGGGTGGAATATAAGGCACAATTTTATTTTCCCTCATTCCTCTTTCTCAGTTTGCACCCATCACGATGTTGTTTTCCGGCAGCGAGGCTACATAGTGATCGTGGAGATCCTCGTGGTTTGTGCTCATGCAGCAGCTAGTAGCAGTGCCCTGGGCTCGCAGGGGCTCACCTGGCTGCTCAGAGCGCCACTGTCCTGAGCAAACTCCTCTGCGAGGTGTCGCTAGGTGGCCCACCCAAACACTCCGAGCTCTCCTTCACTTGTCCACAGCATGACCAGTGGGGGCAGCCAGGGTGACCTTTGTGTCCATGGCCACAGCCTTGGTACCCACCTGCAAGAGAAGAGGCACCATCAGCTGAACCAAAAGTGGGCCAGAAAATCCCAGTGTGTCAGAGGCTTTCAGAGATGCTTCAGCCCCAGGACTTGTTTAAGACAGGGAAGCACGTGCTGATGAGAACACAGCTTATTCAAGGCAAAAATTGCTAGGGCTCCATAAAGAAAGGAGAACAACCCGGGGGGACCTCCCCATTCCATTCACTGGGGAAAGATGAAGATTTCCGTCCCCTTGCCTGTTGGGCAATGCATGACAGGCCTGCAGAACCCCATGCCAGCCACTGGTGGCTATGGCCAGAGCTAGATGCAGATCAAGCACAGAAAAAGGAAGAGGCTGGTTCTATACTAAACATGCAAAACACACAGTGACGCATGCAGGTCAAGGACAGGGAAGCTGGCTGGGATTAAACAAATAAGGGAGTTGAACTCTCATCCTAAATGAGGAGTGAGGCTTCTCCATAGGACAGCATTGGGCACCGTGTGACACAGCCCGGAAGCTCCCAACCTGCCAGCACTGGGAGAGGAACAGTATAGACGCAGTGCTGCTTAGCCTCACTGAGAATGGCTGAAAGACAGAGCTGCCCTGCCCCATCACCTGCAGAGTTGGCTCAGGTCTCTGTCTACGGGGTATGTTGCAAAGACCCTTAGCATGTCCTGCTGCATTTCTCACTGCTGCAGTCCCATCCTACCAGAAGATATGTACACACAGGTTATCACAGGCCTGCTGCACATGCAAGGCAGGAGTTGGGCTGGAGTATCTACTCACAACTATCTATACTAGGGAGGACCAAATGCAACAAACCTTCCTGATGCCAGCAGTGTGGGGAAAGCTGAGCACTCACCTGGCATGGTCCCCCCACAGGCACAGCGAGCAGCTTTCTGCCCTCCACTTGAGCAGAACGTGCAGCAGTGAAACACGCCTTGGTGCTCGCGGAACTTGTTTTTCACCATCAGGGTGAATGGAGAGCCCTGCAGAGGACAAGCAAGCAGAGAGGCTGCTGCAGTAGGTGCTATCAGATGTTGTGCCTGCGTTTTCGAAAACCAACCGGGTGATCCTGTCAGTCACAGATCACTAAGCCCAGTCTTAAACTGCTAAATGGCAGAGGTAATCCTTAGAAAGATTTAAAGCAAATGCTTAGAAAAGAAAAGCAAGTAAAGAAGCAGCAGTGCAAGAGAAACAAGAAATGCTACCTGTACATGCTGCCCTTTCACATAGATGCAGACAGCATACAAGCCTGGCTCCTCAGGGGTGTAGGAAATATGGTAGGTCCCATCACCATTATCACACACTGTTGGCTTGACTGCACTACAAACAGAGAGAAGTCCAAGAGGTCAGTGACTGGCAGAAAATTGCTCTACATGTGAACCACTGTTTGGCCTAGATTTGTTGTCGGTTCCTTATCCTCAACCTTGTTCAGCAGCGGCGGGTCTCAAGCGAGCTTAACAGGATGCATGAGCAATGCTCAAGCATTGAGTAGCTTTCACACACACACCTGCTACCAGGAGCTGCAACAGCCATACAAAGGAAGTCACACAAAGCTAGCTGCACTGCAAGGATTTGTAGCAACCCTGAGCACTGAAAGAGCAGAAGATGACAGACAGCACACTTGCAGGTCAGATTATCCCATCAGATAAGAGCCCTCAGAAATGGGGTAAATTCACAGCTTCAGAGAGCAGTTACCTCTAGAAAAGCCCATGAATAAGACAGGACATAAACAGAGCAGGTTTGAATCACTTCAACCACTGTCCCAACTGCATTGACCCCAACTCTTCAGTGCTCTGAGGAGTTCTAGGTCCCTGCTGGTGAACTCTCCCTTTCCAAAGTGAAGCTCACTGGGTTTCACAAGAAACCCTGGAGGACAAGAGTGCCAGGGAGAAAGCATCAGCTAGTTACTTAGGGACTGATTGCCTGCTTCACAGAAAGATGGAAAGAGCTTTCCACAGACAATTATCAGGCAGCTCTGCCTAGAGGAAGGTGTTCTTCCTAATCCCCATTTGTGGCAGTTGTGAGTCTCTGGTGCCCCACAACGTGACAGCTTATAATCTTCCAGATTTGCAGGCTGTATTCCCCACCCCCCACCGTTTCACATCTATACAGCTGCCTACATCATTTCCTGCCATGAACTGTGTAGTGATACTTCACACTCTTCTGTAGCTGCTGTGCCTCAACCCAAAGCCAGACAGCTTTCAGCAACGGATGTAGCAACTGCATACGCACAAGAACAAGAAACTGAGTTAGTGTGGCCACAGCGACCTCTACACCACCAAGCAAAATCCACATAATCCTCATGTGCACACCTTCCTACGTCGTATGTGCATCTAAGGAAGGAAGGTACATTGGAACGATATTCTTGAACAATGATGCTCTACTGATAAGCATCTGTGCAGCCAGCCTTGTTTCTGTACACCATGTCAACACTTCCCCATAGCAAGGAGTTTTAGCATCCTGTCCCTTTTTTCATCAGGTCATCCCACCAACAGCGGATCCTGGAGGAAGTTACACTGGCATCTTGCTCCAGCTACATTGTATGTACTATAAAACAGAAAAGATGTTTTTCCTAAGAACTGACCCCCAATTGGTTCTACATTTGTGCCTGGCTGCTTTATAGTAACAAGTGCACCCGGCAAACAGTTACAAAATAATTTTTTCTGGTTGGTCATTTTCATTGTGGAAACACTTAGGAGCTCAAGTGTGGTCTTCCCTGCTTTTGCTGGAAAACCTCTGGACATGTTAAAGTGCTCAACATTACAACTACATGAGAAGTCACGATGAAGTCCCAACACAGATTCTTTCTCCAGAACATGAACTAGGCACTGTCAGAGGCTCCCGGGCTTGGTGGACTGTTTGTGTGACTCGAAATGGTCATTCTGGGGTTGCTATGTTTTACACTCATTAGGTGTTAACAAAAGCAGGAGCCCTGGGTGTGTCTACTGGTAGGGGTGGGAAGGAGCAACAGTTCATTCTGACAATGTGTAACACCCACTGAGAGTTGAATCCTTTAAGAAGTCCCAAATCACCCAAAGAGTCAATACAAATCTGAGCCAACACTGTCAAGCTCCACACAGCCAAATACAACCAGTAGGAAGCCCTGCTATACCGGTGAGAAGAACAGTAGTGCCTTTTCCCCTACAGATTCTGACCCACACGCTGAAGCATGTCCTCCCACCTGCCCAAACAAGGAGGGAGCCAGGGCAAGGGAGGCAGAAAGGTAAACCCAGTGACTGGGGAGTTCTCAGGTGAAATACCCACCAGTCCCTCTTGTCCTTGTGGGTGATGGTGACCCGCACGGCCTCTCCTCCACGCCCCATCCGCTCCCCCGTGGTGTCATTGCAGAGCAGGGTAAAGCCAGTCAGCTGGTTCTGACGGGCACTCTGGAGATCTGTAAGGCAGAGAAACAGCACCAGAAAGGATTCACACCAGCCATGATTGCCACCTCCCACCTATTTTGCAGTGTTGCAGTCCCATCAGAGCACAGCCAGGACCCCGCTGCTGGGGTGGGTGTACAGCTCCTTTCACCCACAAGGAAAAGTAAAGATATCACTGGGGACCAAGAGAGAGTGGGCAGCCATAGGCACTGGGAGATGTTGGGAAGGCTTAGCCTGGAGGTCTGTGTGGACCAGGGTGGTCTTCCTGCCTGCCCCTCTAAGCCCAGCTGGCATCTTCCCAGAAGGCCTCAAGGTGCACCATGCAACCAGGAGGGAGGAGGAAGAGCACACGGTGCAGTGTGGAGTCCCAGAAACTTCAGCACTTACAGATTGGCATGGAAAGGATCGAACAAGCCCTGCGTCTGTCTAATCTGCCCTGTGCAGGCCATTACTGACCAGAGCTGGCTGCACTCCGTGGGCTGGTCTGAATGTTATCTGTTTGCTGGCCCTACTCCAAGCCTTTAATAAGCAAACATCCATGAAACCATCTATGCCAGCTATTCCCATGGCAATCTCAGCAGAAGCTGCAAGGGGAACTTGCTCAGCCACAGAGGCGATCTGTCTGGGCCCATGCTGCTGAACAGCTGGGGCCACCAGGCGAGCATCACATCCTGCCACCGCAGGCGCCATGCCCTGAGTAAGCTGTGGTCTTTGGCCTACGGGTTGCTCTCCTCACACCTCACCCCGTGCTGAGGTCAGTGATGTTGCAGGGGGCAGCTCCAGTATGCTGTCATATCTGGCTGGGGATAGCTCTCTATCTCCCTGCCCAGCATGGCTCCCATAGGCCCTCAGCAAGCAATGCAACCTCTGGCAGGGCTCTACCCTACCGTACCCCTCTGCCCCTAGTCAGTGACTGGACAGCAGGAGCTAAGCTGCCCACCGTGTGGGTACAGAGAACGGAGAGGTGACTTCAGGGAGCAACGCGTTCCCATTCAGCTGTTGTACAGCACCCCATTACCTTCCCCGTGCAGGGTACATCTGGCTGGATCAACCACTTTATTGAGAATGGCCCCAAAAACTTCATAGCCGCAACACTGCCCTGCCCTCTCCTGGGGAGAGAACTGGATCCCATCATCCACGCTGGGGTGAGTGTTGTAAGCAACGCTGTTCAGCTTTGCCAGCCGGCTCGCCACCACCCCTTTGGTGATGAGGATCTCCAGGTCCGAGCCACTCGTCAGCAAGCGCTCCGTGAACCCCACGCCTGTCCTCATGTCCAGCAGCAGCTGCTGCAGCTGGGCCTTCTGCAAGTGCAGCAGGTTTTCCTTCTGCACCTTCAAGTCCTCCAGCTGCTTCAGCAGCCGGTCCCGGTGTGCTTCAATTGCTTTCACATACCCACTGGCAAACAGACAGATCTCTGTGGCCACGGCTTCTGCGCGACTGCGGACAGCACTGCCCATGTCATCAATCTGGCCCAGGACATCCTCTAGGGTACCCATGTGCTGTTGGGTGCTTTTCAGCAGCTCCCGCAGGGCATCCCCATGCCTGTGGATGACATTGCCGGTGAAGTCATAGGGGTGTTGCCGGTGCCTGTCTACAACGCAATCCCGGCACACAGGCTGGTCACACTGCTCGCAGAACAGCCTTAGCTCCTCTGTGGGATGGGAAGGGCAGAAGAGAGGCTTCCCGGCCTGGCTGCAATCCTTGGTGTTTTCCAGCTCCGTCACGGCATGAGAGGCTGTCTTCTTCTGTCTCCTAGAAGGGAGCAACCACACGTCACTTCATGCATGTTGGATATGAAATGCAAACACCCGAGACCCCTTGTGAATGCCAGTCTGTACAGACTGCAAGTCACAGTGTGTGTCGCTCCCTCCTGTCTCCACTGAAATGCACTCTGCATGAAGGAACTTGTGGTCCCTGAGGACAAGGCTCCACACAAAAGAGGACAGCATCTGCAAGCAGCTCATTAGAGGCTACTCTCGGGCTCCCTGCATGCTGTCAGCACTATTTTCAGACACAAGAATCGTGTGCCCCACCATGGCCACACACAGACGGGGGAACAGGCTGTCAGGCTGCTACTGCCAGCAGCCCCTTCATGGAGCCTGACGAAGTGGGATAGTTGCAATTACCCCCAGAGCCCACTGTGACAAAGGCAGCAGGAGGGCGGTAAGCCCTGCAAAGTGAGAGCTGGCAGGAGGTGTCTCAAAACAGTATTGTTCACCGACAGTCACTTCTGGAGAGAAATGGGAGGTGCCAGGCTCCTCAGCCATCAGCCCAATGATTTTCACCAACTTTAAATTCGCGGAGGCAAATGAGCTCTAATATCCCTTAGGGGAAAATCTAGTTCAGGCCACTGCCAGAAGACAGTCTGTGGTAAAACATTTAATATTCTGAAAGTCAAACTCCATTTCCTTGTGACTGCCAGGTTAGGTCCTGCTCAGACGAGACCAAAGATGGCACACAAAGAACCTGTTAGGACCCAGCCATCCTCCATGTCACAGGGCAGCACAAGAATATTTCCATTTTATGTTATTTTGGACACTGGGAGCTAGTTATTGAGCAGGATGTAAACGCCTTCTCTCCTTCCTTGTCTCCTGCACTAATGACTTTTGGCAGCTGCGATGGGAGCTCCAAGCCATAAGCAAAGAAATACTCCAAGGACCAAGCTCTGTAGAGTTGCTCTGACAACACAAAGCAACCTCATCACAGGGCAGGACATGGCCCTTACACTACTCCTTTTGCTTCCCACTAATCTCCCTTGGGTCCAGCACATTTTCAAAGCCTTCTGGCATTATTTGCATAACACCCTTCAAATTCACACTTCCCTGACTTCAACCTAAGACCTCTCTCGCTTATTCCAAGGAGCACGACAGTGGCACTCAGATCCTTAGAAATCTTCCCTACA